TAAACCCCCCCCCCCCCCCCCCTTTTTTTAAAATAGTCCTTAAACCTTTTGTCTTCCAATAAGTATCAGACTATTCCAGCAGACTGGCCTTGAGTTTCTGGGCCCCTGTCACCACCAGGATGGAGACTGAGTAGAAGTACAACTAACGCTTTCTGCAGAAATCCCCTGCTCACTGTGGACCAGATTGTGCCATCAATTTTTAAGCAATTCTCCACTGGTAGCAAAGACGACTTCTGCTTAAAAATTGATGGCTTGATCTAGCCTTCTGTTGCTAATCATATATTATGAAGACTACTATAACCTAGTCAGATTCTATTTTTAAAATAAAAAGAAAATATGAGGCAGCCTGACACATTATATGGATTCACTGTAAAGACTGAATTTTGTAAAGACTGAATTGTACTCATAAGACCAGAGGCTCTGAATCATTATGTCCCACTGATAGTTTGGGTGTTAGACATCACATTGGTATCTGACAGGCAAGCTAGTTCCTTGTTATTCCTCAAGTCCTCTTCATAAATAAGCAACCTCAGGTCACTTTACCATTTCTTCAGGGTCTCCCTCATCTGCACACACTAAATGACAGTGACTGAAGGCCTGAGACGAAAGAGTGAGTGCACTTACAGCTCCCTGCAGCACATGGACACCCCAGGCACCTCCTCTCCTGATGTAAGCCAGGGGTGTCTTTCATGACCCAGTGCAGACCATTGCTTTCCCTCTCCTTAGGAAATGTTACGTTTGGCTTGTTAGGGAAAATAAACACGTTTCTGGCAGTATGAAAAGAACTTTCAACAGCAGACCACCTTTTCCCCAAATCACCATACCACCATTTTAGATGGATCAGTTTGGTACGAGATTTTCCGTTTTAATTTTAAGAATTATTAAATTCAGCCATAAAGATATTCCAGCACATCAATTTGGAAACTTCTTAAAACACGTAGAGAACACTTTAATATCACATCAAAATACAACAACAACAACAATGAAAAGGTATGTTTTCTCTGGCAGGTACCAAACCAAATTTGGGCACATGCCAGTTATTTTCTAATAGGAGGAAACTAAACTGAACACTTCTTACTGACTTGATATCCTCTGCTTTAGAATTGTTACATTTCATGTTTTGACCTGGATTAACTTCACCCACTGAGTAAAGACATCTCAGCCTATCTCAAACTACACTGGAGCAAAGTCTGCACTCTAACACAAGTTAAAGCTATACAGAAGAGTTGAATCAATACTAGCACTCTAGTATCAATTAGATAAGAATTTTGTCCACAGCAACACAAGAGTTTTACTTCACATCACAAAACACAGGAAACTCCAAACGGCAAACCAGAAAGCCTTGCCCAACAGGATACCCAACAGACTCTAACAATACAAGAAACACCAGGGACACTGAATACACACCTTAATTATGTAAAATACTAATATACACAGTTTGTTTGAGCCTCATCTGTATTGCAACTGATCAGTGTTTAAAATATCTTCATAGATAGGGTTATTTTATTTACTTATATATATATCCACTGTTGTAGAAGGGAAAACTAATCTGTATTTTATAAAAACATACTCTAACTACTGTTACATAGTAAAACCCCACTATCTTTCTCCTCCTCTCTTTTAACTCCTTATGAAAATAAATAAGCCAGTTTTTACTGAGAAATCCTCCAGCGCTAAATAATATCATTTTCCTCACTCACAAGTTGTTATTATTACATTAACTGCAAGTTAACAGTTACAGAAACATAATTAACGCCATAGTTTTAAGAGGTGAAACACTTCATATATTTCCCTGATAGAGATCAAGACTCAGCAATGTTTGTTATCCTTTAAGAAAGAAAAAATTACTGCACAGAACAGGGGAGAGCAATGAGGTTCCATAACACGCGAGAAACCTAATTTAAGAGTGAAGCTGCTGAGTTTAAAGAAAAAGATAAATGTGCTTGTCTCTCTTGCCTCCCCTCTGCACCCAACTTAATGAGGATTCAAAGCTATATATCAATTAAATCAATGAAATTTCTCTTGCTGCAAATTCTTTATGAGTACAGATAGGATTAAGCAAGCACAGAGACCTCAAGGCAATATATTACATGTAAATCATGAAGTTTCATTTTCTGTCAAAAGAGCCATTAACCATTTCACTTCAGCTGAATATATCTTTACATGCACATATCCTCACACATGGTGTAACACTTCCTCTGTCCTTAAACATGTTTACTTCTTTTGGAGCTCTACAGAGATTTCGAAGTGCACAATTATGGGCTGAAAGAAGAAAGCCAAGACTAGCTAGCTAGAAGTTAGCTGGGAATTACACATAAATAATTATACAGACACTGTATGTTTGGGGAAAAACACAGGGAGGTTTCTTCTCTTCAGTAAATGAGGTTTCTGCTGTTCTTAACTACAGCATCTTTTCATCCATTAATACAGCATTACCAGTAAAAACAAATTATGAACATCCTCTACAAATCAGGCTGGTCAATATGCAGCCAGTAACCACAGCCAATTTAGGAACATGTAATTCTGAACTGAACACAGACCCCCAAACCTATTGATGATCAAGATGCATTAGTTAGCTGACTGCTCAAATGAGCAAGGGATAAAGGAGAGGGAGAACAGAATCAAATACTTACTGCTCAGCACACAGTCCAGCATTTCTGCTACAGTGCTCTCCTGAAGGTTGTTAAGTGTCAGCTCTTGGAGAAAAGAAATCTGACTTGCCTTTGTCACACGAGGCGCTGTAATTTGCCTTGCAGGCATCCACACAGAAGCTTTAGACTAATGGACCATAGCTTTGAAAATACAGCTCGAGACAAAGGCTACTCCTAACATGAGATGTTGTCTGGGGGGGGAGGCTGAGGTTTTTTCCTTGCCACTTTTTAAGTTTCTTACCTTTTTGTTGCAGCAAACAGGGATTTAATGCCAAGCACGTCATACACAAACACCCAACTCAATGCTCTGCCTGGTCCTCGTCTCCATTAGCATGTATCTATGCATCAGATGATGCAAAGTGCACTTGATGCAGCCGTGTACTTGTACTTCAACGATGGGGGCCGAATACCCCCAAGAACAGCAGCTCATTCATTGTGCATCGAGTTGAAGCACATCATGTCAGCTCCCACTCTCCTCACGGACTGTGCACGCTTGTGTTCGCCGGCTCCAGCTGTGAGCGAGTGGGTGCTTCTCCCTGGAAGGCACCGCTCCATCAGGGGTGTGTCTTTTCCTCCCTTCCCACCGCTTTTACCATTTGCGCGCTCCCTGTGCTCTGACCCGCAGAAGAGGCCCCTCTCCTCCCCCTTTAACGAATCTTCACTGCTATGCATTGTGTTTCTAGCCTGTAAACTTCCAAGATTAATCTGCTGTGACAGAAGCAATCTTTTGGGGAAAGCTGAAGTGCGCAGGGAGTCTTCCCCTCCCAATTTTCCAAAACCTCTGGCAAAGCTTTCACGGTGTGACTGAACTGAATGCAACAGAGAAAGACTCTTTAAAAGGCAGCAAAGATTTACGGCCAAATCCAAGAATTCAGACAGAAGTACAACTGCATTTACTTCAATGAAATTATACCTGCTTATGCTAGAAGTGAGATTCATCCTTGAGTGGTAAGAACAAACACACCAAATAATTTGATTTTCCAGAACTGACACATACAATAACAGTAAATCTAATTTAGAGGTGTTGCTTGCACTAAAGGCGACAGTAAACACAATGCTCCTGGAGCCCCGGTTTTTATTCGGCAAAACTCCCCATCAAACATGCTCAACCAGCAATAAAGAGCTGCTTCCCCAGGGACTGCACTCAAAATGTGGTGGGGCTTAAACCCCA